CTCAGCCCCAGGCTCTCCGCCCCCCAGCTCACCTCTCTTCCTCGCCCTCCAGCAGCTTGCGGTAGGCGCTGATCTCCATGTCCAGGGCCAGCTTGACGTCCAGCAGCTCCTGGTACTCGGCCAGCTGCTGCTGCATGGCTTCGCGCACCTCCGTCATCTCCTGCTCCTTGGCGTCCAGCATCTTGCGGAACTTGTCACGCTCGCCGGCGACAACCTCCTCCAGTTCGCGGATGCGGTCCTCGGCAGCGCTGGCCTGGGGAGGGCATGGCCGGGTCACCGTGTGGCCGCTGCAGCCTGGGATGTGAGGGGCCCGGAGAAGGGGTGGGGGGTGGGGCAGGGCCGGGGGGCCCGTCAGTCACCTGCTTTTGCAGGCCTGAGAGCTGGTAGCTGAGGGACTCCACGCGCATGCGGGCTTCCTTGAGTTCCTCGCGGGCCGCACTGGCCGCCTTGTCGTTCTGGTCGGAGCTCAGCTTGGCGTTGTCCAGCTGGGGAAGTCAGGGAGTGTGAGCGCGGGCGGCGGGGACACGGGCTCCCCTCGGCTCCCCGCACCCTGGCCGCACCTTGGCCTGGTAGGTCTGCTCCAGCTCCAGGCGGTACAGCCGCACTTGCTCGTCATGCTGGCTGCGCAGGTCCTCCAGGGCCTGGGCCATCTTGAAGTCGTATTCCTGCTGCCGGCTGCTGTCCACCTCCACCAGGCGCCTCTCGTGTCTCCGCCGGGTCTCCCGCACCTCCTGCGAGGGGACAGGCCAGGGACCCAGTGAGCCTGAAGAAGCCGGATGAGCCGGCGAGAGGACCAGGCACGAAGGGCCACAGCATGGTTAACAGATCTCAGCACTTGAGAGCCAAGGGCGGGAGATGGCCGGAACCGTAAGGCCAGCATGGGTTCATAGCCAGACCCTTCTTAAGCATTGTTAAAGGCCCGGGCTGTGGTGAAACACACACCACACTTTGGTCCCAGCCCTCGGGAGGCAGAGGCAGAAGAATCTCTTTGAGTTTGAGGCCAGCCTGGTCTACAGAGCGAGTTCCAGGACGGCCTCGGCTACAGAGAAACCAAAACCAAAACCAAAACAGGATGCCAGCTAAGGATGAGATCTCAGGAAAGCTCCCCCAGGTGTGGCAGCACTCACCTGGAATCCCAGCCCTCAGGAGGCTGAGGCAGGAGGGTCTGAGAGTTCAGGACAGTTGGGTCTACTCGGCGAGGTTCAGACTAACCAGGGCCCCACGGAGGCCGCGTCTCCAAACGGTAACAGGAGACTTGTAAGGCAGGACAGAGCCTCCCGGGGGCCTGGCCTTCTGGGTCAGGGGGAGGACAGCGACCCAGGACAGCGGGGGACACCGTGGGGAAGGAGGGCTGTGGCAGCGCCTGCCAGCGGAAGGTGGTGAGTGTGGGATCGACGTCGATGGATCTTAGAGTTTCCTTTTCTTTTTTTGGGGGGGTGAGGGGGTCCGAGATGGAGTTTCTCTGTGTAGCCCTGGCTGTCCTGTGACTTCTGCCTTGTAAACCATGTTAGGGATTTCTGTAAAGACTCCCTTACCAACGGTGTAGTGCTGATCACCTTTAATTCCGGCACTTAAGAAGCAGAGGCAGGCAGAGGTCTGTGAGTCTGAGGCTAGCCTGGGCTACACACTGAGATCCTGTCCTCTTTTTTTGTTGTTTGGTTTTTCAAGACAGGGTCTCTCTGTGTGGTTTTGGTGCCTGTCCTGGATGTAGACCAGGCTGGCCTCAAACTCAGAGATCCCCCTGCCTCTGCTTCCTGAGTGCTGGGATTAAAGGTGTGCACCACACTGCCCGGCCAGATCTTAGCTGTCCTACAAAATGGCCTCTCCACAGGGACCTAGGATAAACGGCCCTCCACAGGCTTCTCAGGATAGCACACACACCTTCCTGGCGCCCCAGACGGCTGTTTGAGAGGCGGTTCCCTGTGCGCTCCTCACCTGCCCCCTCGCACGGACCCGGAGGTGGCTCTTCCAAGTCCTGGGAGTCCCCAGGGCTCTTTTTGAGGGCAGCTTCACAGGACCCTTCGCAGGGGTCTTCGCGAGCCCCCTCAGACGTCGCCTCACACACTCCCTCAGGGGTCTCGGGCTGTGCCCCCCCTCACATCCCTCCACACTGTCCTTCAAAGGCTGGGCCTGCCTCAGGGGTCCCGCCACAGGCCCGTGGTCTCCTGTAAACCCCCTCTGAGGCCCCTCTCCAGCTCCCCCCATGGGTTCTGGCTCCCCCATGGTTATAGTCCCAAATAGGACTCCCCCCAGGTCCCTTCCTGAGGTCAGGACGCCTCGTGGCTTCCCTCACAGGGCTCTATACCGAGGCTCTCATGGCCTCCCGGGACTGTGGGGCGGTGGCCCCTCCTGTTAGCCCAGGTTAGAGCGGCCTGGGGCTCCTCCTGTCCAAGCTCTTCCTCCGCAGTGAGCGCAGGCAGGGGCCTGCCCAGAGACACTACCCTGGGCTATGATGGCACAATGGGTTCTGTGACAGCCGAGTTCCCTGGGAACCTTCAGGGCGGATCACCTCAGCCTAGTCACCCCACCATGCCCAGTACCCCAAAGTGCTAGAGGGTTGGGGGGAGACCCTAAGGTTGGCTGAATGAGGTCACACCCTGATCACAGACCCGGGATGTGACCTCAGGCTGAGGTTCTTTTGACATTGGTTTTTCATATGCGTGTGTTTGTGGGGAACGTTACTGTGCCACAACATGGCTGTGGAGGTCAAAGGTCAATTTGTGGAGTCAGCATTCTCCTACCATGTGGTTCCCGGGGGTACAACGCAGGCTGAGTCTTGGCGGCACGCGCCTTTACCCACTGAGCCATCCTGCTGACCCAGCTTAAGCTGGAGTTTGTTTGTTTAGTCTGTCAAGACAGGGTTTCTTGCCAAGCGGTGGTGGCGCACACCTTTAATCCCAGCACTCGGGAGGCAGAGGCAGGCGGATCTCTGTGAGTTCCAGGCCAGCCTGGGCTACAGAGTGAGTTCCAGGACAGGCTCCAAAACCACACAGAGAAACCCTGTCTCGAAATTCCCCTTCACCCCCGCCCCCCCCAAAAAAAGACAGGCTTTCTCTGTGCAGACCTGGCTGTCCTGAACTCACCCTGTAGACCAGTAGACATGGCCTGACTCTGCCTCAAACTCAGAAATCCGCATGCCTCTGCCCACCCTCATGCTGGTGTTACAGACAGGAGCCACCGCGCCCAGCTAAGTTCCTCTTCTTTGATGTGAGATTCTCAGTGACTCAGATGGCCTGGAAATCTGGTGACCAGCGCCCCTGGACCAGCGTCAAGAGAGACCTGGGGCTGGCAAGATGGCTCTCAGGTGGAGGTGGCTGCCGCCAAGTCCGAGCGCCTGAGTTCGCGCCCTCTGACTCTGGGTCTCCTCTCACCCCGGGGGAACGAAGGAACGTTCAACAAAACTGATCAGCAGAGAGGGAGGGACCCAGTAAGAGGCTGCAGGGGGACAGGGGCGGACAGCTGCCGGAGCAGACGCCGGAGGAGGTGGGCTCAGGGCTCGGGAGGATGCGCCTGCCCCCCCCCCCCCACCCCCCCACCCCGCCGCTCACCTCCTCGAACACGCTCTTGCTGAAGCCCAGCTCTTCCTGCAGGCTCTGGCAGCGGTTCTCCAGGTCGACGCGCATCAGCGTCTCCTTCTCCAGCTGCTTCTTGGCCACAGCGTGGCCGTCCTCTGCCTGGGAGACACGGGCAGTGAGCTGCGGGCGGCCGGGCAGGCGGCTCCTCCGGGTCACCGGGCGGCTCCTCCGGGTCACCGGGCGGCTCCTCCGGGTCACCGGGCGCCCGGATGCCGGCGGCCCACGACCCACCTTGGCCAGCTGCGCTCGGAGCTCCGCCACGTCGCTCTCCAGCCCGTGCTTGTCGCTGAGGGTGGAGGCCAGCTCCGCCTCGCTCCGGTGGAAGAGGGTCTCCAGGTCCCTCACGCGGCCCTGGGCCACCGTGAGCTCACCTTCCCGCTTCTTGGCACTGAAAGGGGGGGAACGGTCAGAAGCCCCTGGAGGCCGAGCCCAACGTCACCGTGGTCCCTGTCGGTTACCGCAGGCTGACCGGCTGCCCTCCCAGAGCCTGGGAGGCTGAGGCAGGAGGATGGCTTCAAGTTGGAGAGCAGCGTGTTCTACAGAGTGAGGCCCCGTCCCAGAGACAACAAAACTAGCAAACTAAACCCAGCCCAGCCCAGCCCAGCCCAAGCGCTGGACACTGTGGCCCACAGGACACCAGCCATATTTGTCAGGGCTGAAGGCGCCCGCACCCTGCCCAGCTGCCAGGGAAGTCAGCCCCTGAAAGCCAGCTCTGGGTGGGGCCCAGACATGCACTGGGCAAGAGTGTGGCCGCAATTCACTAAAGTCACAAAGGAAGACCCGCCTTGGAGAAGAAGACCAGGCAGGCCACCCTTCCTCCCACACTCCAGTCAAGGCAGCCGCGGCGGCGGCGGCGGCGGCGGCGGCGTTTAAACACGAAGGTGTTTGTGGGACACAGACCTCAGCTTTGCCAGGGTCAGCAGGTGACAGGGGGTGGGTGGCACTGGCGGCTAAGCTGCCACACACCTTGGGGACACCAGGCTGCTCCCCACCGTGCCTGCCTGAGTGTGGGTGTGGGTGCAGAAGGACCCAGCCCCAGCGTGGGCCAAGTAGCGCCCTGTTGCCCACAGAGCTGTCAACCTGAGCCTGCCTGGAGGTGACCATCGGGCTGGAGTCATGTACCCAGAGAGCGCCAGCCAGGCGGCGAGGGACCACGAGGCCTGAAGAAGTGTGGGGGAGGCAGGGCCACAGGCCGGCAGTGCAAAGGCCCTGGGGTGCGGCATGCCCGAGACCAGCAAAGAGGCCCAAAGAGGGGAGAGTGGGGGGCTGGGGAATTCCTAACCCACCGCAAAGGCCCTGGCTCCACTGAGGCTGTGGTCTGCATGGGCCTTGGTGCCCGTCTCCCAAGAGTGGCAGGGTGCCAGGGCACAGTCTTGGTGGAGTGTGACGATTCCCAGAGGACCCGTGTGGGAACACTTGGCCTGCTCAGCAGGTCCACACGGTACCTGAGGCCATCGTGACTCTGTGCAGGAAGGAGGTGAGTCCACGGGATGGGGGAAGCCAACCTCACTATGATGCTGTGAACCAAAAGGTCAAGGCAATCCTTGGCTACATAGAGAGCTTAAGGCCAGCCTGAACTACATAGAGCCTGGAGGCCAGGGGGGCTACATGAGACCCTGCCTCAAATAAATTGAATGAATAAATGAATGAATGATGAATGGTCAATAACAAAAAGAAGCCAAGATACAATCTGTGGAATGTAGAACTCTCTGGCGGTGGGGGGGGTGTGTGTGTGTGTCTGTGGACAGACCCAGGCAGGGGTTCCCCTGAGCTGACTCCAGCTCCACACGGGAAGCACAGAGGTGCTGGCTGCTGCCCGCCTGTGATGTGGCCTGGCGTCTGTGGACGCCCTCGAGCTCCGACACACCAGTTTATTAAAGCCAGCGGCAGGCACTGGGGTACACAGCCTGGCAGCCGGCTTGGGCGCTGCCACCAGAGGAGCAGGTGGGTCGCCTCACGGAGGCCAGGCCTGTGTTCCCGGGCTTGGGGCCACCATGAAGGTCAAATGGCCCCTGGAGCCCTGACGGGGGCAGACCTTGGGCAGATCTGGACAGGGAGGTCCCGGGATGGTCCCACCAGCAGGGGGGCTTCAGCAGAGCCAGGCCTGGGCTGGCAGGGGAGCCTCTCACCCCGACCTGCGCTGAGGACTGTGATGTCCCCAGCTGAGGCGGGACCTGAATTCCACACCTAGCACAAGCCAAGGCTGGTGTCTAGCCAGCCGCTCTGCCTTGTCAACATTCTTGTGCCACCTCCTGGGTGGACCTCCGGTCCCCGGCGCGGCGTGCCAGAGCCTGCAAGGCACAGGGAGAGGGGGGCTTCTGTGAGGGGCACACTGGGACGCCAAGGGACAGTCACGTGGGGCGCAGCGAGGGGTCTTGCGGCCTGCTGTCCCTGGGGCAGCGTGTCTGTGAAGGCTCACAACCTCAGGAGTCCCAAGGTGCCCACGGTCTGAACAGGCGTGTGCATGCGTGAGGCCATCAGCAGCACTCCAGGATGGTGGACTCGGGACTCCATTTCAACCCCAGTCATCCTGTCCCCGGCCTCGGGGGGCCTGGGGGGCTACTGAGAGTGGCCGGGGTCCACCGGGGACCCGGGGTCCACCGGGAGCTGGGTACCCAGGGGCCCGCACCTGTCCAGCCACGGCCACCGACCTTCCCGGTTTCCTCTGATGTGTGTTCTCCTGTGCACGTGTGCATGCACGCAGAGGTCTGAACTCACCGCGCGCCACGTTCTTGGTGGAGGCAGGCCTCGCTCTGAACCCCGGCTTGCGGCTGTGGCCGGTCTAGCTCACCCAGCTCACCCTGAGGGGCCCCTGCCCGCCCCCCCAGTGCTGGCACTGCCAGTGGGCTGCGGGGATCGGAACCCATCCTCACCCCTGTGGGGCGGGCACTTCACCCACCAACCCGGGTCCCCAGCGCGACCACCCACCTCTTCCTGGCCTCGTCCAGCTCGGCCTGGAGCTTGCCCATCTCGATCTGCAGCCGCGCGCGTTCCCGGGCCGTCTCGTCCAGCACCCGCCGGGCGTCAGCCAGCTCCGACTCGTACAGGGCCTTGATGCCACTCACCTGGGGAGACACACAGAACTGCCCTGTGCACCCCAGGCCACCGTCTTAGACCTCAGAGGGGTCCGGGCCGTCTCTGGAAGGAGCCAGCTTCCCTTCTCCGTGGCTTAGCCTGTCGGGATGTAAGGACAGGCCACAGCACCGCGCGCCCGGGTGGGAAGATGTAGCCGAAGCTAGCCCACCTGGCACGCCCCGCTCGGGGCCAGAAGGGTCTCTGCTGCAGGACGTCCCTGCCCTCACCGGGTCAGCAGACATGCAGCCCCCCAGTCCAGAATCCCTGCTCTAATGTGTTTCCCCAGCACCCAACACCGAGATGACAGGCGCCCAGGGCCAGGCAAGCGCTGCCCACTGAGCCACAGCGGCCTCTTCAGTGTTGACTGTCTCTCATGAGGTCGAGGTAACCCCTGAGTGCACAGGGCCTTCCCTGGGGCTCTGCAGGTCACACTCCTGTCCCTATCATGGCCATGTGGGGCCCTGAGTCTCCCTTCTATCCCTCGGGCCTCCCGTACCCGCATCCCACCCCGTGAGGACCAAGACTGGGAGACCTAGGACCCCTGGCTGTGCCCGGGGACACCTGCATGGGGACAGCCTCGCTGAGCGGCATCCAGAGTCACAAAGACTGGCAGCTGCAGGGGTCACCCCACCCCATCCACAGGGGTCACCCCACCCCATCCGCAGGGGTCACCCCCACACCCCCATCCACAGGGGTCACCCCACCCCATCCGCAGGGGTCACCCCACCCCATCCACAGGGGTCACCCCTCACCCCCATCCACAGGGGTCACCCCCCCACCCCATTCACAGGGGTCACCCCCATCCACAGGGGTCACCCCCCACCCCATCCACAGGGGTCACCCCCACCCCATTCACAGGGGTCACCCCACCCCCATCCACAGGGGTCACCCACACCCCATCCACAGGGGTCACCCATACCCCATCCACAGGGGTCACCCCTCACCCCATCCACAGGGGTCACCTCACCCCATCCACAGGGGTCACCCCACACACACCCATCCACAGGGGTCACCCCCCACCCCATCCGCAGGGGTCACCCCCACCCCATCCACAGGGGTCACCCCCCACCCCATCCACAGGGGTCACCCC